GCCATCTGGCGCGAGTTGCATGTAGCGTTGTGGTCCGGCCCGGGGTTCAGGAGCAGCATGTTGTAGTAGCACATGATGCGCCCATCCCGCCGCCTGATGGTGTCTCGGAACGCGAAGTAGGGCACGGTGTTGAGCACGGCCAGGGCCCAGAGCACCAGGCAGACCTTGTGGGCTGTGGCCACCGTGCGGTGGTTCTGCGCCCACACGGGCCGCAGCACCTGCAGGCAGCGGTCCAGGCTGATGGCGCTGAGCAGGAAGCCGCTGGCGAACATGTTGAGGAAGAAGATGGAGGAGTGCAGCTTGCAGAAGGTGGTGCCCAGCTCCCACGAGTGGCCCACGGCCAGGAAGTAGGTGAAGAAGGGTAGGATGGCGGTGGCCAGCAGGTCGGACAGCGCCAGGTGCAGCACCCAGGTGGTGACCACGGTCTGGCGCATGCGGCAGCCCACCAGGAAGAGGATGAGCCCATTCTCCACCAGGCCCAGCAGCGAGGCCAGCCCGTGCAGCAGCACCGACACGTAGTCGATGTAGCGGATGCTGGAGTTGCTGTGGCTTTGGAGGTGGCTCATCTGCTCCAGGAGCGGGCAGAGCGGCTTCATGGTGCCGTTGGCCAACATGGCGGTCACTGTGATGGAGAGAAGGAGGTACTGAGGTGAGCAGTGCAGGGGCCACAGGGGACCCAGGAGATGGGAGTCTGACCCGTGAATGTTCTGCACGAGGCCCCTGGGGATCAGTGAAGTTGAGCGAAAGCAAGAAGGTGGAGGGGAATAACATCCCAGCTCCCCAACCTGCTCACCGTGCAACCTCGAGCAAAACATTTAACCTTCCTGAGCCTGTTTCCTCCTCAGCAATGTGGCTGTCCGTCATAACAGGACCTAGCTCAGAAGGTTGTTGGGAGAGTTAAATGAGTTAAAGTATGTGTAAGCATTTAGAACAGAGCCTGACACACCGTAAGCACGGAATCATGTCATCGTGATTATTAAGCAGATAGCCTAAGGCCACATGGAGAAATAGGAACAAGGTGAGGCCATGCCGGACTCCTTTTCCCAGTTCCCAGAGAGCTGAAGCATGATGGAGGCTCCACCTAAAGGGCAGGAGGGCTCAAGTGGCCTGGGAGATGGAAGGAGTCCGTACCCACAGCACCCCCGACCTCTCCTCTCTATAGATTCTCCAGTGCCCTTTGCTCCCACAGTGGTGGCTGGTAGAGTGTGTTGACTGCGAACAGTGGAGCCGGTCCCTCCTCTTATAGTTGGAGAGGAAATAACATAAGAGGCTGGAGAGAGCCGGAGCCAGGCAGAAGGAACTACCAGACTGGGACTCCGGAGGCCTCTCCCCCACCCAGGTGGAAGCCACAGCTGCTCTGCCTGCCCCAGGAAACGCAGCCCATTCATTCATTTATTCACTCACACACTCATTCAACAGATATTAATCGAGCAACTACTCAGGTAAGCTCTGGAGAAACCAGCATCTGACAGATGTGCAGACACCCAGATGTGCACACCCACAGCCTCATCGAGAACCTGCGACCGTCTGAGGTGAAGCTGGTTGAGATCGGTGAGGGATGAGGAGGTAGGGGACGGGTAGCAGGGGGACTCAGGCTCTCCTGGATCCTCATGGCATGCCGGTCCTGTGACAGGTCCCTTACATAGGTGCCCTCTTGCTCAATGGCTTCACAAGAAAGGTGCCAGAACTTCTCTCCATCCCATTTTGCAGATGAGAAAACCGAGACTCAAGTGTTTAAATGACTTGGCCAGAGCCACCCAAACAACATACACAAGTGAAGAAGCAAAAATTTAGCACTCGGTCTGTTCCCCTTCTTCTCCCTCTGCTCTGAGTGAGAGATGGTGGAGGAAGAAGAGAAGCAGGCGGGGTGGTCTTCGGTATCCATCCAGGGGAAACACTGTGGGCCAGGATGAGAAAATCCACCCCCTTCTCCAGGGATCACGTCCCTTTGTAGGGTGAGATTGCAGGATATCAAGCTAGAGTTCTCCTGGCAGATGAGCCCCTTGGAGCTGGGGCTCTGCAGGTGGGTAGATGGGGAGCCGTCGGGCCTGTGTCCCCTGAGAATGCTCTTGCTTCCTAAGCTTTAGAGTTTGTGAAGCAGTCACACTCGCAATGACTCTATGAGCCACCATTTTTCAGAAGAGGAAACTGAGGTTTGGAGAAGCACAGCAACTTGCCCAACAATCTTCTAGCCCGTGCTGAAGCTGGGACTCCACTCCCAACAGCCAGATAAGTGCCGTGCCCCCTCCACACTGAAACATCCCTCCAGTCCAGCAACTGCTTGTCCAAGTCCCATGCGGATGCTCAGTGAGCACAGTGCTGCTGCACCCTGGGGATTAGTCCGGATTGGTCCTCTTGCTGGCTGGAGTCGCCCCCGCCCCCACCCCCACC